TCATTTATGAAAATGGCTTTTTTTATTAATCTTTATGCTTGTGCAGTTTGCTCCTTTTATTCTAGTTTCTACATTTAATCTTTCAGAGGTTGTGCTTTCCTACCTCTCCCTTTCAAGACAATTTTAACAGCATTATTCCTAGCAGTCTCCCTGTAGCCTGCAGTTCAATCCTGCCAGCTCACCTCTGCTTTCCCTAGCAGGTGGCATGCATTTGCTGAGAGAGTCTAGTAATGGATCCATAAATAGCTGCCTTGCGCCCTGCGGGGAATCTTATGGTTTTATATCCTTCTTACTGTATTGTCAAGAAAAAAAAAAAAATCGTCATTTAAAAAATGTATCTCCTTTTTTAGGCAGTTACTCTACTGGAAACCAGATCCAGCTCTGGCATGTTGCTGGGTGTTTCCATCTCCGACCCAGGGGCATTACAATTTGCAAACTGTCTCTGCTTAAATTTCAAAGCAAATCCAGCAAACTGCCTGGGCCCAAGCCACAAGTTTTTTCTTCTCCAGTAGAATCATTAAGTAACTGCTGCATGAAGTCATTTATGATCATTTTTAGGAATGTTATTGTGGCGTTATGTCCTGGCGCATCGCTTTTTGCCCTGGAGCTATCGTTCTTGCCACCATCCTTCTCAGGTGACCACTAAGAGAGCCCTAATGCCAGAATCAGACCAGGATTTCAGTCCCTATAGACTGAACATTACCTGTTGACAGGGTTCATTTACTACTTCAGTTTGAACCTAAGTTTTTGTCGCATGCAGTGCTGATGTTCATCAGAAGACTGATGCCTTGTGCTCCATTTTGATTTTTAGGTTTTCATAGGTTGTGTAGAGATACATACGCACGTATTTCCCTCTCTGTGTGTACACATGTGCATTTGTGTGTATTTGATTTTCTGTATTTCTCCACACTCTCCACACAGGACTCTGCACCAGGCATAAGATGATCCTACAACTTCCAAAATCCTTGGGGAACGACCTCCTAGCAGATTCCTCATAGACCCCTTAGGACATCAGGGCTATCTGCACATATGAGCTGACAATTGGTGTCCTTTTATTGTCCTTTGGGATCTTTGTTTTCCTTCCAAGGATCAGGGTGAAACTGTCATGGTTGTCTCTCCTCCTCGAGAGAGGTGGCAGTGGCTGGTCCTGAGTGAGCCACAGGAGGAGGATGTGCTGAGCCAGCATAGGGACAGCCATTGGAGGGAGCAGGGTGTGCCAGCAGCATGGGATTGACGTCACTGCTTTTGATGATGGTGTCGAACAGGGGAGCCCCATATATTGTTTTTTCCATTGGAGAACCTTGTGCCCGATGCTCACAGGGCAGGCTGGCTCTCCAAATGGAACCACACCACTGCGGCACCGGCTACATCCAAAGCCGTTTCCTCCTCTCTAGGGTGTTGCATCTTGTGCTCTTTGCAGGGCGAGCAATATTTTCATGTTCCTTCTCAAGTCTCTGGTTTGCCCCATTTGAAACCCTACTCCAGGGACAGGTTTCCAGCTGCTGTAACCCAGCCTGTGCTCATGGCAGGTTCGGACGGAAAGCCATGCTCCTGCTGTCGCTCCTGTGCTCTGTCGTATTTGGGATGCTGAGCGCTGCCTCCGTCTCCTACAGCATGCTGGCCATCACACGGACTCTCACCGGGGTGGCCTTGAGCGGCGTCTCCCTTATTGTATTGCCTTTCGGTAAGTATGTGGGGTTTTGTGGGTGCCCGGTTGTGCAGGAGCACTTCTGACAGGCAGTGGGTAGGTAGGGACTTGTCTACCAGGCAGGACAGAGCTAGTAAGAACGGGAGTTTGGAAATCATTATGTGTGCAATTTCACTACAGCGAGCCAAAAGAACATCCCTCTTGGGAGGATCCGACAATTACAATTCTCTGATAGTCTAATTAATGCTCTAACAGTCTACTCAAAATATAACAACCACTCATTAGTACTTCTGTTGCAACATTAACACTTGCAATCCATGCTACCCAGTTTCTGTTAAGGATCATCAGTAGTCGAATAAAGGATCATCAGCAGTCCAATAAAAGCCATAGACCAAAGTATCTGCCCCTTTCCTCTGACACTGAGTTCTCACCCTTCAAACACACTTTTAAGACAATTCATCAGCGCTGCCATGTCGTCAGCAGGAGGAGGACGGTGTGTCATTCGCGAAGTGTTTCTACCTCCCCAGTCTTGAGTTTGCTTATAGTTTTTGTAAGTTCCCAATCTGTATTTTTAGAAAGAGTCAGGGGGAGAAAGAACCACACACACACAAAAAAATCATACAGAGCTAGGCAAACCTGAAGAATTTATGTAATTAAATAACAAAAACAAGCTCCAAACTTCAGGGTACCCAACAGAGCACTGGATGATTTTGTAGATACAGTTAGGACGTACTAGGCAACTCATTGTACCCAAGAGCAAGTTACAGGTGCAGCAAAAATTTCCAGGATTTTTGCAGATATAGCCAAAATCAAGCTAAAATGGCTTCAATACTGGAAAAGTCTACACAAGTCCTGAAAAATCCCACGGCCTGCTATGATTTTTTGTTATAAAGGTTGATGCCTGTAAGACAAAGTAGAGCTTAGGAGGGACATTTCTGATTGTTAGAGGTTGTAGCAAGATGTCCAGATCTTTGGAGGAAAATTGGCTTTTAGTTCACACACACACACAAGGAGACCACCATCTGTTCTGGTCTGACATGTGCATTAGCATCTGCTCCAGATAGATTCCACATGAATGACAATTCATCTTAATATATTTCTTTAATCTGGAATAATGAGTGGGCAGAGAAATGGGACGCTGTGCAGGCAAGATGGTTAGGGGAAAAAAAAATTATCTGTTTGATGAAGACCATCTGACTACTATTGAATGGGGAAAAAAAAATAGCATCACCTAAGGTGTTTTTAGCACCATTTCTTACTATATGTCCAGTATTTCTTCTTTTAAGGCTTTACTTTAGTTGCTTACAGCTTTGCAAGAGGTTAAGCATTGTGGATGAATGTTTTAAATGTGCCAAATGTCGGCTAAACAGTGGAACTGTCCTGGAGGAGAAGACCAGGGATGTTGCCTCGCTTTGCTCTTGTTAAAAAGCCCTGCAGACCCCCTTCCCGGAGAAATCCCAGCTGAACGCTGCCTCCCTCTTGCAGGGATGGAGTGGGTGGACATACAGCACCGCACCTTCTCCGGGATCCTGACTAGCATCTTCTGGAGCATTGGGAACATGCTGCTGGCCATGGTAGCGTACTTGGTACGGGAATGGCACTGGCTGTTAGTAGCCGTAACAGCACCTTGTCTTCTGAGCATTGCCTGCCTGTGGTGAGTGCAGAGACCTGCAACGGGGTGGCTCTGGGGATGGGAGCGGGCTGTGTTTTCCCTCTTCTGCTCTGTGAGCATGGCAAACGTTGCAACGCTGATCCTCGGGTTGGCTCCAGCAACCCAAAGAGGAGCAGGACTCGTCTGTGTCCTGCATTCGGACTGCCCAGGCATGGCAGCTCTTGAAAACTGGAGTGGCCTGGGTTTCATCTCTCCTCACCTCCAACAAGGCCAGGAGCCAAGGTCACACCATGGCTTTTGGGCCAAGGAGGAGGCAGGACTGGGGCTGAGACCAGGTGTTTGGGGGATAGGCTGCAGTGCAAAGGAGCAGGATTTGGTGCTGCAAGCCCTGTCAGACGTGGCTCGGAGCAAGAAAAGAGATCCCAATAAAGGGAGGCAGGACCAGGCGACATCCCTGGCTTTAACCCCTGGTAGACTCAAGATAAATAATTCATCCATCCTCTGTCCCCACCTCATTGGGGAGGATACCTTTGATACCAATTTTTCTATATGAGCCAATGACACCTGCAGGCTAGGTCAGGTGCATTGACCTCTGCATTTCCCACGGCCTTTCTCAGCTGTGCACCCACCCTGATGGGTCAAATACATCCACCCTTGGTGGGCTATTTCCCTCCTGTAGCATTATTTAAGAAATATCTGACATCTCTTAAGCCTTAGAATGGCAGATGGTTCATTTAATCAAAGAAACTCATTTTCCTTCTTTTTTTCACATAGTAACATCCACTAGAATACAGGGTCAATTCACTGATACTGTGACTGTAATGTGACGTGTATTGGATCAACTTATTCGATGAGCTGAAACAGTTCTTTCAATAAGCAGCTCCATTTCCCAGCTGGACAAAAGTCCTGCATTGAAATAAGCAAGCAGGTATTCCCAACACTGCCCCACTGAAAACATTCAGAAATGGGGGGTTGGTCTCCTCCTCCTTAGGGTGGTTGTTTAGTTCCTCTTGGACATTGATGTGGTGCTGGTCCACACTGCAGAAATGAGAGATGTGTCTCAGGGCAATGGGGAGCTCTAGCTGGAAACCATGCAAAATAAGCTCTGATTCTTAGGCACATGGGCCCCAAAATTATATGCATAATCGCTGAGCAGAAACAGTGATATCCAAATGCTAAAGTCCCTTTCAGCTGCCATCAAAGAGGCTTCTAGAGACTATGGTTTGCTTGCTTACTATGTCTGTCCATCAGCATGAAGCAGTAGATTAAATAGCTGCAGAGATCTAGCACAAAAAATCTCAAATAATACTTATTAAAAATGGGATATAAACTGATGCTGTTGTTAACCAATGGCTTAAAAAAGATATATTTTTTCACTGGTGATGAGGGTTTTCCAGCAAATCTGATATTTTGCTGATCAAGACCAACACAACTAAAAGCCAAATCCAGTTGGCGGCTGGTCACTAGCGGTGTTCCCCAGGGCTCAGTTTTGGGACTGGTGATGTTTAACATCTTTATAGATGATCTGGACAAAGGGACTAAGAGCACCCTCAGTAAATTTGCAGATGACACCAAGCTGGGTGGGAGTGTCGTTCTGCTGGAGGGTAGGAAGGCTCTCCAGAGGGACCTGGACAGGCTGGATCCATGGGCTGAGACCAATGCCATGAGGTTCAACAAGACCAAGTGCCGCGT